CCTGCACCGGCGGGTCCCGTTCCTCCTGCTCCTGCTGCTGCTGCTGCTGCTGCTGTCGCTGCTGCTGCTGCTGAATCAGCGCCAAGATTTTTATTTTCATATCAATTATTTATTTGTTTGTTTTGATCATTCAAACCAGCGTCACCAGCAGACGCAGTCATAAATTACGTTGTGTATTTAGCTGCAGTGTTTAGCCACTTATTTTCTTATTTAAGGTCATTTACGTATTAACATGACACTCTTTAAGCCATGTGTTACATCACAGGCTAAAACATAATGGCGATAATAATAATAATTAATTATGAGTCTGGTTTGGTTCAAACACGTGGACGTAGCTTTGGTACGAAATCAGAAGAAAGAGAAAGAAAAATGCTGCCATTTCTCCGTGGATTCAAGATCCTGTTTGGAAAAACAATAACAAAAAACCAAAGTTCATTATAAGACTTTACAAGAATTTTTGCATAAACTGTGACCGGCTAAGACCAGATACTGGGTCTTTTTCCAGAAACGGATCAGTAGAAGGAATTAAAAAAATAAATACAAATTAGCGTTTGAAGTTTTTTGGTAGCTTTAACCAATATAATAACTAACTTTAATCCCTGTTTTGGCTATTTATTCTTATTCTGGCTAGCAGCTTATGTTTTCAGATTTTATTTAACTTTGTGTTCATGTTTAGTGAAATTAAAGATAATTTAAAACTGTTTTGCCACGTTAATTTTTTCAGCCATTTTGTTTGGTTTATTTTGCCCCAAATTTTGCAGTGAAACGATGAAACTGTCAATTGCCCGTGTCCCGTGATTATGACTCTGGTGTGAGTACAGAGGCTGTGCTTTATTGTCTGATGCTCTCCAGTGTGTGCACTGGAGGAAAACAAGGTAGAGAGATATCCCCTTCCTGTTTTTGTCACTCACAGCTGATCCCATCAAGGCCTCCTCCTCTTTTCTCATGGCCCACAGGATCTGACCAGGCCTGCTCCACTTTTTATTTTTTATTTCACTTTAACAAAAAAAAAAATCACACTGTGCTAAAATACTCACTGCTCCTTTCAGACTTTACCCCCCACACTTGAAAAACTTCGGCTTCTTCCCCCTCACCCCCTCCCCTCCCCTCTTTATCTAGCACATAAACAGCTTGTCTGCACCTAGAAATTTTTTCCCTAGACATACTTTTGAGACTGTTTATTTTTTGTCTGTTGCAGCTGGGTGTGTTATTACAGAGTGATACCATCTCTGCTCCGTGCACAGACTTCTGAAAGAGCCTTATCTCAGCCTATATCGCCCCGTTCCTCCACATGTGCTGGAATATTGACTTTTCTGCCGACATCCCAATGTGGAATTTTGTTTCGAATTCCACGCGTGTACTGAACATAGCCGCAGAAGACAGTGAGGATGTATTTTTGAGCCGGACACTTAGCCCTTTGTAGGGGGAAAATGTTTATATGTGGTACAAGCTTCTGCATTAGCAACATTCTTCCCATACACCCGGGATCTGGGCTCCAACCGTACGGTACGGTTGAATTTCGGTGCTCGCATAAAACGACAAAAAAAAAACAAAAAAAAAAACAGATCTCTCTCCCCACGTCGTTTGGGAAGGAAATTTATTTTTATTTAATTTTTTTTTTCCGACACCACAGGTGTAATGCAAACTTAAAATTGCAAAACAAAGTCATTTTCCGCTCACGTTTCACTCTGCTCACAGCCAGCGTGTGGCGATGACGTCTGTTTGAGAGTGACTCATGAGTCTACTCTTAGTGCAGCACTGCTCTTGGACGTGGGCCTAAATTGCTGCTCCAGCATTTACGCAAGTGATATGAAAGAGGGAGGGAGGGAGGGAGAGAGAGAGAGAGAGATATAGAGAGAGCAATGCTTTGACAGCAGCAGCAGCAGCAGCTCAGTTCTACCACAGGGTTGGCATTTCAGTGGGCGGAGCTGCAGTCAAGGCCACATCACCTAACTGTGTCACATAAATCACAAACATCAGACAATAAAATCTCCAACATGTTCTGGTCCAAGTGGAGCTGGTGCACAGGAGACCTGAGGTCACAGTCGGACCGACCCCCACCACACTGATCAGCTGCCAGAAAGAAAAAAAATGGCTGAACACATACGTAATTACAACTTCAATAATTTCAACATATCAATGTTACCCTTTCATAGTGTTAAGTCAAATCTCCAAAAAACAAGGGAAATATTTTTCACTACTGCATTAATACAGTAAAGTGGAGGTCTCAACCCCTGGTTTGGGGTTGGAGAGGATGACAAATACATGTTATGGTTAAAATGTTGACCATATCCATGTAGAATACTGCAGTGTACTCTATAGTAGAGCGGGCGATTGGCGATAAAAGGCGGTTGAATTTGTAAAAATGAAAAATGTGAACTGTCACTATAGTCAAGCATTAGCATTAGCATTAGCTAAACTGCGTCACATTCACAGCCAGTGGAGAAGTTCCACTGACTTGGTCAGTGTCACACTGACTTGCAGCAGCACAGCCCTGTCCAGTT